GTAATGTCATCAATAGTGCCATTAAACATGAGTAAACATATCTATTGATGCATGTCTATGTTTATAGTTTCTTATTCTACTGAAACAACTAATACCATGACTACTCCATTGACTACTGTATTAGTGAATAATGGAGCTATTGGAGTGATAGTTGGTCCAACTGTAGCTCTTACTGTATTATTAGTACTGGCTATAATTATAATTATTATACTGGTACTGGTTATGTACAGAAAAAAGACCAATATTAATCAAAAAAGGTAAATGTGTACACATTCATTACTGAATTAATTTTAAAATTTATAGAAAATCAGAAAATGAGATTGTAATGGAGTGCAGTCCAGCTTATGCTACAACTGAATTTAAAACAAAGTTAGTTACACTATTGACTAGTACATTATGTCTATACACACACACACATACAGTACTGCTGATGATATACTAATGAAGGATAGTCCAGCATACAGTATAGTACAACAAACACAGTCAGTTATATAAAATACAATTATTATTATTATTTAAAGTTATTATTAATAGATCAACTGTTGAGCCAGTGTATGATACAACTAATAATGAATATGAGACTCCTCTTCCACCACCTGCTGAATATGAAATGCCAACTGTTTAATAATTTACTTATTCTTTACATAGTTGGAATAGTAATTAAGTTGATTAAATTGTGTGCTTGTGATAAAAAATTTTTTAAATGTTAGTTGAAATGCCACATTTACATCATGATAAAATGAAGTTTAGTATAGCAATTGAATTTCAAAAATAGACTGATTTAATGTAACTAATAAAATTATGCTAATTACTGATACACATTAATTTTCCTAGTCATATAATTTTGACATTTTGACTGAAAATTTAATAATGGATGTCTATTTATATATTTTTAATAATAATGTGCATGCAGTGCTCTTAATAGCTGTTATTTATGTTGTCACTGTGATGTCATCACTGCTGTACTCAGCAACTGATAACTTAAATAGTTTTGCAGGATATATTAGTGTTGTAGAGGAGCTACTCCTTGAATATAAACTCTCTAGATCTACATGCAGTGAATCATTTCTAGGAAATAGGATGACACTCTCAACTAGTTCTTGTTTTCTTTCAACTTTCATGAAAGCATACTACCTTGTGGTTAGTTCATTAATGGTACAAGCAGCAACAGAACCATGCTCCCCCAATGAGAACAATAGTAAGAATTGGTACTTAATCATAATAGTTATTAGTATTCTGTGTTTCTCTTTCTATAGCTAGTCATACTCTAGCTCCCACTGTGCCAGTGGATGATATTATATTCTCATCAGTAGAGTCAGTGTCAATGACTGTCTCATGGCATGAAGTACCTTGCAATGGAAGGAATGGACCAATCACTGGATACTACCTCACATACACTAACATCACTTAAAACACTAGTTATACTGTTAGTATCACTGGAGGAGACAACAGAATGTATAATCTAACAGGATTAATACCATATACTAACTATACTGTGAGTGTAATACCTTATAATTATAATATGAATGGACCAGGTAGACAAGAAATACAATTAACTGCTGAATCAAGTAAGTCAATGAGATATTGATCAGTTTAACATGATCTTAACACAGTTCCTGGTGTGATAACTGATCTAAGACATGCAAAAAATCCAGATACGATAAATATGGTGTGGAATCCTCCTACAATACCTAATGGTATCATTACAGTATATGAGATAAGATATAGAGAGTCTACCAGTACTGGTCCATACAATATAACTAACACTACTAACACTTATTACAGTATAGTAGGATTGATACCTAATACTAGTTATACTATTGGAGTGAGAGCATGTACTAGTATTGGACCAGGAGAATGGACTGATAGAGAATATAGTACTATTCAAATATGTAAGCAATTAAATAACATATAGTAAGCAATTGTGTAAAGAATAGTAAATTAATGTAACTTTGTATTTGGTATTTTCTATTTTAGCTGTCATTGAAACCTTTTCTATCACAAAGCTCAATTCTACAGCAGTGAGGACTGAGTGGAGTTTAATTCGTAGAGCTAGTCATTATACTGTCTATTATGAGTCAACCAGTAGCTCCTCAAGAAAGAAGAGACAAGTAGAGACAGGAATGAAAGTATTCCCAGGTGATACTACTGAAGGTCTAATAGGAGGATTAGATCCTAATCTGAACTACTTGTTCTCTATATCTATATCATTTAATGTTAATGGAATCATTTATGAAGGAGAGAGGACTCAACCAATACCACCAGGTAATGCTGTCATTAGTTACTTCATAATATTACCAAGAGTACATATGTACTCTTGATAATACTCATTACATGTTTTTAGGTGCTACTCTAACTCCTACTATTGTATCAAGCACTTCATCATTCATTAGTGTTACAGGATCATCAACAAGTAAGACAGTACTTACTAATAGATTTATGTAGTCAGTTAATCAGGTTTTTATTTTATGTGCTGTTATACTTTATCATAATCAAGCATTGATTTGTATGTCATTATTAAAATAAGAAAAAAACATAATTATAACAGCCATTTTAATAATAATGATAGATCTGCTATAGTTTACCAATTCTTATTGTTTCTGTTTAGTTTTTCATCCTACAGTAGCAAGTACTGTAACTACTGTAACTACCACTGGATTGATTGTTGGTGTGACTGTAGTCTATATACCCATCATAGGACTGCTTGTATTGGTAATTGTTTTGCATGTGAAAAGAACAAACCAAAAGAGGTAAATGAACATTTATTACAATAAAGTTTTTAAAAGTATGGGCTTATAGAAATCCAGAGAACAACATTGCATTGCAAAGCATTCCAACTTATGCTACAATTGATTTGAAAGCAAAGTTAGTCACTGCATTAATTCAAAATAAAATACATTAACGAATAGATCATCAAACAGTCCTGAGACTCCTGAATATGAAGTACTACCTTTTTAATAATGTTCCCACTCATCTTTTATTATGTACACTATTAGTGATGCAAATAAACATATATTTAATGCTACCTCTTAAATTAATGCATATTGTGTTTGTGTTATAGCTGTAGAAATATTTGTTAGTTGAAAAGCAATAGTTTTAAGAAGTGAAAATAAGCAAATGGAGCAATATCAAAATTTTTCATATGAGCAAAGAAGGAAGTTTTGAGCTTAATACATGGTCAATATACAAATCTGAACTTTTAAAATTTTTTAAAGAGCAAGGCTCATCTTTTTTCCCAGAGAATGAATTTTTGAAATGTTTTTATTCTTGCAATTTGTGTTAAACCACAATGCATATAAAATTATCACTTCAAAATGTTTTTATACTTAAGTGTACTTTGACCTGATTTTTGAAGAACTTAAAAAATTTAAACTTGATCAAAACTATCAATTCAAACTTTTTACACAGTATAAGAAAATCTTCTTGCCAGGCATCTTTTGCAAATCTTAAAGAGGGCGTAGCTCATTGACTGGGCGTGGCTTTCATAACAATATTCATTATTTTTATTAAATTAAGATATTAAAATACACTTTTGTGTCAACAACTGATAATGCAAGGTCACATGATCTGTTAGCTTAACAATAGAATCTACATTGAAAAGAAAAATGGCATTCTCTAGCAGGTCTTGTTTTCCATTATTCCTACTGGTTCAACTGG